CCCTATCGTACCGGCTAAAAAATGTCGTCTTCAGATAAACAGAGTTACTGTGCTTTTTTTTATTCGCAATCTTTAGTTCAAGTTGAAAAAAATGAAAATATAAGCGTTAGAACATCTGCCTGCACATACATCATAATGTGGCTATTTCTGAAGCCCTGCTTTTCAAGAAGCTACCGGTGGACGCTGATATCCATTTCCATATCATCAATCAAGAGTGCCTTACTTTGCAAAGACAGGATCCGCAACATCAATGGGGCAAGTGTGGTGTATACTCTCCCACCTCCTTCCACGACATCTTTCCGCATTCATCAACTTTGGAATGCAAAAAATCGAGTGCAACTCCAGTAAACATGAGGTTATTAGGTGAAATAGAAACATATGGATATGTGTAGCACTTAAAACATTGACAATTGTTAGCCAGACAATTCTCTTCAGCTAAACCAAGTTGCTGCACTTGAGTGAAGAGCTGATATCCTTTGACGGAACGATTCAGATATGATAATCCTCAAGGAAAAAATGCTAACTTCCTTGAGCATGCTGTGTATCCTTTGAGGACAAAACTCACCGAGTGCAACGAAGGAAGAATGGAAGAGGAAAATTACCGAAGTCGTTGAACATATGGCATCAAGGAGCAAAAAGAAACACACATCCGTCGCTCAATGTGGAGTGTCAACGTCACAGGAAGTGCTTAGTTGCTGACTCTGCCATCGCCACAATTCGGCTAACGCCTTTCTTTCAAGGTTAGTTGTCATTAACCAGAATTCAGCTCGAACTTAACACTCGCGTTGTACATGAAGGAAGCGGCGAAAATGCCTGATCAAAGTCAAGGCGACATACGGTGGGGTTCATTTTCTGTATCTTGCCTGAGAGCCACGATTACCTAATGAAAATTTATTGACCATCCAATATTTTCCAGTTAATCCATCAAGAGAACGGTACTCTGAACAAGGATGAAAGACAGGATTGAGTCACTCAAGTCACGGAGAAGTTTGCAGCGCAGTTCATTTTTTGGCCTCTCTGACAGTTATAAATTCTTCCTATGAAAACTCGAAAGTTATAGTTCATTACGAATTATAAGGTGCTTAATTTTTTCTGGCGTATCCAGTAAATCGACACTGTAATTAGAAGTTCACGGCAGGATACAAATAGGCGTGGAAGACTTATGCAGACGACCTGATTGACTGCTTTCATAAGAGTATTTATTTTTTAAGCAGAAGATAATATTTGAAAACATAAATCTAGCGAATTTTATGAAAACCACTATTCTGATTGAGTGTTCTTCTCGTCTTCCCTCGTGGCGTTTGACCAAGAGCCCAGCTAGCGGTCTCACTTCTGGTTTAACGTCACGAATCTCACAGTGAAACGAAAGCGATGCTCACGTTTACGTAACAGATTAACGCATTGTCGCAGGTGCTACAGATCATGCCGTTTGGTTCTGGGCGCTATTTGCACAACCGCAGACGTGTAGCCGGGATTAGTGAGCCAGTCCGGCTCCCTGAGACCGCCAGCACGCCAGCTATGGTCAGAGGATCGTCCGAAAACATCGATGCTCACACAGTGGTTGCGTGCCCCGGCCTGCGAGCAGGTGATGCATGGAGGGAAGGTCGGGGTGAGGAAACGGCGGAAGCACCTGCCTATAATTCGTGCGAACAATAACAAGGGGGGAAGCGGCTGCGACGGCGGTAGCAGCAACGATCGGGACGACGACCACGAAACGACATCAACCCGAAGGGTTAGTGGTCATTGGTGCCTCTTTCGCCGGCCATTTGTTTTAATTTCAGATGACCTCGGTGTCGAACATGAGTCAACCATGACGGTCTTGGCCCTGGTCGGTGATAATGGCCATAAAGATC